GCCATCTTCACTGTTCTGGCAAGTCCTCACCGCCGCCAAATTCCCGCGAATGCCCGGACTAGAGCATGCGTGGCGCTCAGAATTTCGCGAGGCTACGGAGGAAGCGCCGGATGGAAAGGGGAGGATTCTGGGAAAAATATTATTGACAAAGAAAGTGGAACTGGCAAGAATTTTCACATGTAGGAAAAATAATGTTTTTAAATAGCGTTTAGGGTGGCAGAGTCTCTTAATAAGGCGTCCTGTAACAGCGGACAGGCCCCGTCTAACAGGTTCCCTTACCAAAGAAAACTCATGTAGAGTTCACAGGTGCCAGGAAAACACCCATCAATTATACACCAAACATTACACTGCTGCCACGGCAACAAAGCATTAATAAAAAACATGAATGGAGCAAATTCTACCCGGATTAAACCAAGCGTCCGCTGTCACAATGAGATTATTACAAATCCAGCGCTGTGTCCTGCTATCACAGCATTTACAGCCTGTACATCGCCAACTATACAAATATAACAGCGGGCGGTCTGCACGTAGAACACTCTAACCCCACAACTGCAGACCCATGTAGTGGTTATGGTGCCACCATGCCTATGGCTTGTAAGAATGTTTCTGTCTCCCCACACACAGTGTATTTTAACTGCATCTATGCAGGTTGTGCAGTGTATGCAGCGTGTGTAGTGGATGCAGGTTGTGCAGCGGATGCAGTGTGTGCAGCGGATGCAGTGTGTGCAGCGGATGCAGTGTGTGTGGCGGATGCAGGTTGTGTGGCGGATGCAGGTTGTGCAGTGGAAGCAGTGTGTGTAGCGGATGCAGGTTGTGCAGCGGATGCAGTGTGTGTGCAGTGTGTGCAGCGGATGCAGTGTGTGCAGCGGATGCAGGTTGTGCAGTGGAAGCAGCGGATGCAGGTTGTGTAGCGGATGCAGGTTGTGCAGTGGAAGCAGGTTGTGTAGCGGATGCAGGTTGTGCAGTGGATGCAGTGTGTGTATTGGATGCAGGTTGTGCAGCGGATGCAGTGTGTGTAGCGGATGCAGGTTGTGCAGCGGATGCAGTGTGTGTAGTGGATGCAGGTTGTGCAGCGGATGCAGTGTGTGCAGCGGATGCAGGTTGTGTAGCGGATGCAGGTTGTGTAGTGGAAGCAGTGTGTGTATTGGATGCAGGTTGTGCAGCGGATGCAGTATATGTAGCGGATGCAGGTTGTGTAGCGGATGCAGGTTGTGCCGTGGATGCAGTGTGTGTATTGGATGCAGGTTGTGCAGCGGATGCAGTGTGTGTATTGGATGCAGGTTCTGCAATGGATGCAGTGTGTGCCGCGGATGCAGGTTGTGTAGCGGATGCAGGTTGTGCAGTGGATGCAGTGTGTATTGGATGCAGGTTGTGCAGCGGATGCAGTGTGTGTAGCGGATGCAGGTTGTGCAGAGGATGCAGTGTGTGTATTGGATGCAGGTTGTGCAGCGGATGCAGTGTGTGTAGCGGATGCAGGTTGTGCAGCGGATGCAGTGTGTGTAGCGGATGCAGGTTGTGCAGAGGATGCAGTGTGTGTATTGGATGCAGGTTGTGCAGCGGATGCAGGTTGTGCAGCGGATGCAGTGTGTGCAGCGGATGCAGGTTGTGTAGCGGATGCAGGTTGTGCAGTGGAAGCAGTGTGTGTAGCGGATGCAGGTTGTGCAGTGGAAGCAGTGTGTGTAGCGGATGCAGGTTGTGCAGCGGATGCAGTGTGTGTATTGGATGCAGGTTGTGCAGCGGATGCAGTGTGTGTAGCCTGCTCTGGAGCACCCTTGGCCGTTGGGATTGGGTGCGGTTCTCATCATTTACTCTGCTCAATAGTGGTGGCCTTAACACAATATGCCTATATGGTGTAACTGAATCCCTATACTTGTTTGCTCAGATAAGTGATTTTAAGTAGCCTTGTAAAATATACACAAAAAGGAAGAAAAAAGGAGAAAAATAGGACAGACTAGTACCAATAGTCCTAGTAGAGTGGGTTTCCCTTAGAGAAAAGGGAAATAATGGCGGGAACCGTTAGTGTCTAAATAACACAATCCCAAATGTAAAACGTAGCTTTTAATAATAACTAACTAAAAACACAAATAATGGTGGATACAATTGCCCTCCAAGATAGCTATGTCTGTATATAGCCGAACAGCGGCAACTCCAGGAGCGGTCAGGAAAAGAGTCCCTCTTGAGGACTAGCAGCTATTAATAGCAGAGTGTAACACAAAGGTGAAAAAATGTTACAAAATAAGTAAACACACGCTACTTAAGTAGTGTCATAAGTAACCATTCACTGCTTCATAATCAGTAGTGTGGATATATTGTCAAGACAGTATCCACTGTGAGTCTATAATACCCTCACAGGATATAATAAAGTATAAAGGTGGAATACTGACTGGATAGATAGTAAGTTATATGGTATAATTGCCAATACAATAAAACTTCCAGGATCCTGTAAGTGAGAACCTGTCCAATTGTAAAGCTAAATAGCTGACACAAATTAGGGAGAGAGGTAGCTAATGAAAAAATATGTGGCAAGGGAGAAAAAACAAACAAAAACTAAGCACTCAATAGATATGTGAGATATATATGAGCCCTAGCCGCTTGTGCCTTCGAGGGCACCCCTTAACCCAAAAAGCCTAATAACTCCTAATACTTTCAGTAGTAAGCCCACCCCCAAATTAGAGAATGCGCTCAAAAGATAAATATCGATGCCGTAAATGCTCCTAACCGGAACCCCCAGGATTCAGAGTTACCGATGGGTATAGATATATCCTGTCTAAGTAGCAGGGTAGCAAAGTATGAAGACACTGGTGGTGCAGTTCAAAAAGGAAGGATAACGCCGGGTACAAGCCCCTGACGCGCGTTTCGCCACTCAAAGCTCTTCAGAGGGGAACTGAGCTCCTGTTCTGATCAGGTTTATATAGGAGAGAAGGTCGAGTCCCATTGGTCAATTAGTTAGCCAATGGGAGGTTCGGCAGTCTATAGTGGGTGGGGTTACGGTGTAACCCTTACTCTGCCGATGCCAAATTACGTAATTGTACAGTAACAAGTCATTCAAGTGATGATACATTTTACCTTAATGGCATTATCCTGCTGAGGAGGAGGAGACGTCAGTGGAGGATACTGACAGGATAGTGAGCTAAATTATCCTAAATACCGTGCAATGTCCACATAGAGAACACGGAGGTCCAAATAGGATATAAATGAGAATATAAATAAGTGTACAGAGGAACCGAGTAGTATTAGTAATTAGAGGTGTCTCAAGGTAGCTGAGACATGAAAAGAAAAGAAAATTGTACCACGACTAAGGTGGCAATAAACACAAAATAATATAATATAATTATATTAATGTATGAATGGGGTGAAATTGAATTCTTCATTAAGACCCGAGGGTGTGTGAGTTTTGAATTCATGAATCCATTTGGACTCCCTTTTCAAGAGTCTTGTATTAAAGTCACCTCTTCTGGCATTGGTAGATAAGCGTTCAATGGCTTGAAAGTGGAGGCTAGATGGATCCCCTTGATGTTGAGATCGAACGTGGTTAGCTACTGGTGTATAGATGTTAATATTGGTGACTGAATTGATGTGTTGTAGGATGCGTCTCCTAAATTGTTGGTATGTCTTACCTATGTACTGAATATTGCAATTGCATGTAATGACATAGATAATTCTAGTGGTACTGCAATTGATAAAATCACGAATAACATATTGTTTGTTAGTTTTAGTGCAAAGAATAGATTTGGCTGGATTAATATATTTGCAAGCCTTACACGACCCACATTTGTAGGTACCCTTCATCTGTGTTAGCCAACTTGGAGCTATGATGGGGGGTTCCAGGTGACTGTGGACAAGGGAATCTCTCAAATTCTTAGGTCTTCGTGCCGTTAGAGTAGGGTGTAAGGTGATATTGTCTTGAAGTTCTTTATCGTGTAAAAGAATTGGCCAGTTATTTGTCAAAATTTTTCTCACGGGTTCCCAATATTGGTCAAAGGTACCAACACATCTTATAGTTTGTTTGGGTAATACAGGTCTCGAAGAACGAAGACAGAGTGATCTGTCCATGCTATTTGCCTTTTGGTACGCTTTTTTTAGAATTCTATTAGGATACCCCTGTTCCTTGAATCTGGCTTTTATATCCTTTGCTTCTTTCTGGAAGGCAATCTCTTGGGAGCAGTTTCTCCGTGCCCTTAGATACTGGCCGTATGGTATAGCGGCCTTCAATTTAAATGGGTGGTGGCTTTGCCAGTGCAATAAGCTGTTAGTAGCAGTGGCCTTTCTGTACAGTTCAGTTGTTACTGTGCCATCCATACCCAATATAATTCTCAGATCTAGAAATTCCAATGTCTTTTCATCAATGACAGATGTTAATTGCAATCCGATGTTATTGTCATTGAGAATATTCACGAACTGTTGGAATTTCACAATAGATCCTGTCCAGAAAAGAAGCACATCATCGATGTATCTATGCCAATTCAATATCAATTGGCGGTACTCATAGTCAATTACCGATACTAAAGTTTCTTCCCACCAGCCTAGGTATAGGTTGGCATAACTAGGGGCACAAGCTGTCCCCATAGCGGTGCCCTTGATCTGCAAATAATATATTCCGTTAAATACAAAATAATTATGTGTTAGCACAAAGGTAAGTAAATCTAGTATGAATTGTTGGTGTTGTGTGGAGAATTTATTGGACTTCTGTAAAAAATAAGAGGTAGCTTTAATGCCTATGTCATGTGGGATATTATTATATAATGATACCACGTCTAGACTTGCAAGAAGAGTGTAAGGTGGAACAGTTAAGTGTTCTAAGGTCAATAGAGTCTGTTTTGTATCTTGTAGAAAAGAGTCTAGCCCTATAACAAAGGGATGTAAAAGATTTTCAAGAAATCTGCTTGCATTTTCTGTAAGGCATTGATTTCCAGAGACAATTGGTCTACCCGGAGGGTGAGTGAGATTTTTATGCACCTTTGGCAGGCAATAGAAGGTAGCAATGGTTGGTGAATTTTTAGGCAGAATAAATCTCAATTCGTCATTAGTTATGATGCCTTTTATCATGGCACCGTCTAATAAGGTTCGAAGAGATTTTAAATAGGATGAGGTGGGATCCTCACCCAATTTACTGTAGCAAGAGGAATTATTTAAATGTATGAGACACATATCCACATATGTCTCCCTTTCCATTATAACTATGTTGCCACCCTTATCTGATGGTTTTATGACAATATTTTTATTGTTGCTTAGGTCTTTAAATGCTTTTTGTTCACCAAATGAAAGATTGTTTTGTTGAATTGTAGGTGTAGGTAAGGATTCGATTGTCTCGGTAGTCATTTTTACAAACAGGTCCACGTTAATATCGTCTCTAAAATTGGGAGTAAACCAACTTAGTGGTTTAAAGCTGGTAAGTGGAGGTACAGTTTCTTGTTCAGTAAGAAGTTGTACCAGAGTTTGAAAATGTATAAAATCTTCATTGGTAAGACCTAATTCCTTCGCTTCTTTATTATTTTTCTTTTTATGTAGTGAGCATAAGGCTAGTTTACGGCCAAATAGGTTAATATCCTTCAGCCATTCAAACTTGTCTGCGCTCGGGGTGGGTACGAATGATAACCCTTTATTCAATAGTGTAATGTGATCAGGAAGGAGTTTGAAATTTGAAAGATTGATAATTTTCATGTTGGAAATATCCAACTGATCTAATTCCTGGAGTTGCTGCGATTGGGTTTGTACCCCCATCTCTGCCGGTCTCGTAACCTTCCCCTCTGTGGTAGGGGCCAGGCTTGGTCTAAAAAAGAAGTAGAGCCCGACGAGGATGCTGTAGTAGATGGGGGAGGGGTGTCTAAGAAAGCTACAGTTTTGTTTAGATCTTTTAATATCCCCCTTCTTGTAGAATGGGAGGTTTTCAAACCAGAGGATGGATTCTTGCCTGGTGTTGGGCCGGAATCTGAGTCCGTCCATTCTGTATTGCCTGAAGAGTAACTATTTTTTCTATTGGCTCGTGTGTTCGATCTCTTGGTTTGCCTGAATATTGTGCCTTCCTTGAAATCTTTATAATCACGTTGAAATTTGTAATGTTTCTTTTCTTTAATATGTGTTGTGAAGTTGTCTATATTGTTTTGTAATTTGTTTTCCATTAGTGTGTACTCTGAATTAGACTGGAATTCTTTGACTTTGATAACCTCATTTTGTAAATCTTTATTTACTTTTTCAAAATTCTCCTCCTCAAGTTTGACAAGAAACTGCATAAGTTTGTATGAGCAGTTTATAAGAATGTCATTCCACTCTTTAAGTTTATCCTCAGTATTAACTTTATCGGGTGTGGAAATCTCCGGTCTTAACCCTCTTGGTACCAATTTCTGGTCTAGATAATGGCGTAGACTGGTGACTTCCCAATACCCTTTTATTTGTAGCTTATAGAGTTGCTGAATTGAAAAAAATACATTGTTAATATCATTCGGATTATTACATCCCAAGGGTTCTAATGAGAAGACATTGCTAATGTCATTTGGTC